AAGTCCTCAGACTTTAGTCTTTTTTTCCAGTAATAGGACCATCTTTACGCAGAAGGGCACATCGGAGAAAAGCTCTGCTTGCATCCACTGTTCCCCAATCAGGATACTAATGCATCATATTTGAGATGTCCCTTTTAGAGCCCCGATAACATCTTGATCTCAAACCATGACTCTCACCCTGGAACAGAAGCAGTCACAGGCTGCTTTCTGGGAGCACAGCCAGAACTCATAGCCTCAACAACCAAGTTTGAGCCAACAGGCCTACAAAGGTGCAAGATCATGGGACTTACCCTCATTGTAAAGTCCACTCAAAATTCGCTCTATAAACACTTCCTAGTGTAAGGTTTTTCGGCCGTGAAAGAAAGAAAGAGTGGGGCCAAACCACGTGGCTTTATTTAGCACTCCTAGGTGAGCTTCTGGGGTCCCAAGAGAGGGGGGGCCCAAAAAGTCACATCTGTATGAAGGGGGTGAGGCCTTTTATAGTGTTTGGGCTGGGCTAGGGACTTTTGGTGGGAAGAGCTGGGTTGACCTTTGGTGGTCATTGAGAAATAGGAGGGGCTGGCAGTATTTGTGGAAACCAGGAGCCAAAACTTTCTTATATGGGTTTGGTAGTTTTCAGTGGGACAGTGGTCCTTGGCAGGTCTGGTCTCATGAGCCTTTTCTTTTTTGATCTAGGGAAGGGAGGGGGCCCGCCACCAACCTTACACCTAGAGACGTTGAGGGAAGATACTTTGTAAGGTACTGTGAGGGACAGAGTTCAACCAGCACCCCTGGCGTCTGGAAAGCTGGTCCAGGGTGACGGGGCTTAGCTGGCATCAACCATTCCCTCCTCAGAGCCTTCCCCACACATCTCAACTTGAAGTAGCCCTTCACTCCAACATCATTCTGTACCATTTTTCTTTAGGTCACTCAACTATTTGAAAGCATCATTTTATATATTTATCTATTGTTAATTCAGGAAGTACTGATTGCCTAGCCTGAGACAGGCACTGCTGCTCTAAACAAGGGGATACACAGATAGCAAATTAATTATGCATCCCTGTCCTTGAGGATCTTTAATTCCAACCAATGATTTAAAAAAAAAAATACTAAACAGTACAGAAGGTTTGGAGGAGATAATGTAATGGAGATAAAACAAAGGAGAGTGGGTAAGAATTAGAGGGAGAGTGGGATAAAAACAGTTTTGCAATATTAGTGGAGTGATTGGGGCAGGGCCATGAAGGCAGTTATATCTGAGCATGGACGTGGAGGAGTGGAGTGGGTCTTGGAGGGAACAGTGTCTCACACGAGAGAATACCTAGGACAAGGGAACTAAAGCAGAATACTTTGAGGAAGTACATGCTGTAGCTGAACATGAAGAGCAAGACTGGTTCTGAGATGAACTGGAGAGATCAATGGAGACAACCATGTAGTGTCTCTCAGGCCATAGTAAGGAGGCTGTAATATGCTCCTTATATATCCTGAAATATGGCTGGGATTTGATTTAGTCAAGTGGGTATGGCACCCAGACACAGAAATTATCGTCAGGAAGGAAGTTTATACTCACAGATTTCTAGAAACGGGAGGCAGAGCACACCGTGCAGAAGGAAGCAGCAGCACAGGTGAGACAGGGCAAGGGGCACAGCTTAGGGCTGGCTAGTTTGAATAATTTCAGTGAGCACCAGGGTGTAGGGACTGCCATTAGGTGCTTGGTACCTAGTCCGGGGGTGATTAGGAACAGGGATAGACAGTGGCTCCAGGTCTGAGGATTTGATTAAGCCAGGGCTCTGGATTGGTTGGTTAAGATACCAAAGGCAAGCTAGCAAGAGATCCTTTTGCTACTTCTAGGCACAGTAGTCTCTCTAGGAGAAGCAAGGGCCTACTTGTCCCAATATCAGAATACACATGCTTGCTAAATGCTAGAATCCCCAAACTAAAGGGAAGCAGTAAATAGGAATTTCTTTAAAGTAAGAGATAACCACGTAGACTACAAGGCCTGTGGCTCATGACCTTGTGCTGAAGGACGAAAAATAAGTTACCTGTTTACAATTTAGCTGAAATCACACAATTTTAAGATGTGAACATTTCCGTGGCAAACATTTAAAATCTTCAACCCTGAAAACTATAGGACAGTATCACTGAGCATTCCAGAGGCACTCCAGCGTCCCATAACTGAGACAGGAAAGGCTACCCCTTTGACCAGAGTCTGAGCACACATTCCCACAAACTGGACTCCTGTAGGTCCCACTCCCTCCCAGAAAAACTCAAAGACACATATCCACGACTGAAACATATTTTTTAATCTCAAGTTATCTGCATTTAGTAATGCAGAAATTACGAACCCCCATAGTCTTTACATCTCTCTCCATTGAAGCCAAGAGCTACAGTTTCAATAGCAGCAATGAAAGGATGAGAACTTTACAGATATGCTGTACAAATACACATTGATCTCCTCATTACAGCTTTATAAACAAAGGCTAAGGAAGAGAGTGTCTGCAAGTCAGACTATTTGTAGCCACACATATCCGTACCTATGGCTTCAAGTGGTACATATACATGCATTAGGCAGACAAGGTCTTTTCTTACCAGACTTCCTCTAATCATCACTAAATTAAATCCCAGCTAGGTTATTCATAAGAAGTTCCACTGTGACTTAGGAGGTTTTTTTTTTAATTACAGTGGTTATAAACCTTCATCACAAAATTATGACCATTATTTTTTGTTGAAGGAAACTGCTTAATGTCTGTTACAAAAATTTGACTTACACCGCATTTTAGTACCATTTAAGTTGCTGTAAAGAAAAGAGTTATAACAGCAGGTCGGAGACTGCTATCCTTTGAGCTTGCAAGGTTTGCCCTTGCTGGTGTAGGACCTTAGATTGTGAAAGGTTTCCTACCACTCTCCCCAAGAAAAGAAACTCCGTGCGCCCTGGGTTTTTTTGTGTAAACAATGTGGCTTATCACCTGCTACCTTGTGGGTAGAATTCTAGAATTGTGGTTAAGTGCTGGAGAGCGTGCCCACTAAAAACCCTGGCACTGAGTGTCCAGTGAGCTTCCCAGTGGACATTTCTCATGTGTTTTCATAAGTCCCAGGTGGAGCTTGAATAAGGCACATCCTGTGTGACTTCACTGAGGCAGGACTCAAAACATTGTGCCTGTTTCTTCTGGACTCCAGCCTATCAGCCTTTTCCCTTTACCGAGTTTGCTTTGTATCCTTTTGCTCTAATAAATCATAGCTGTTCAGTATGACAAAATGCTGGTACTGTGAGTCTTCTGAACAAATGATCAAAGCTGGGGGTGGTTTTGGGGACTCCAACCCAGCCGTTCATTAGAACTTCTAAAATCTTGTACATCTGCCCATAAAAGCCTATGTAGATTCTCTCTGAGGTCAAGGTATGTCATACATGGTGTCACCTATATGCGCAGCTTTGTGGTAAACACCATGAAGGAACTAAAAATAGGCCCACACTATGAGAGGCAAAATAAACTGGTTAAAGGCATTGATTCTGGAGCCAGAATACTGGGCCTCGAGTCCTTAAACCCAAACTTCATAATCGTGCAACTCAAGAAAATTCTTTAACCTTTCTGTGACTGTTCTGATCTATAAAATGGGGAAAATAGCATTATCTACCACATACAGTTGCTGAAAAGGTTTTTAAAAAGTGTGTAAAACATTCAAAATAACTTCAGACACAGTGTAATACTACGTTTGCTGGCTCCTGTGATTATTGGAGATGCACACCATGGCCATGGCCACATGCATCCTCAGTGTGCAAGAACACAGAGAAGGTGCGGAAGGACAACCAGTGGGTAAAGGAAATGAGAAAGATTCAGTCTGTGGACATGAATTTGGGGAAACTCTGTAGATAACTGAGGGTGAAGTGCCCTTGGAGGGAACTCACTCACTCATTGAGCTCATGGCAAGTGAAAAAGCAACGGCCAATGATAGATCCTGGGAAACAAAAATATTTAATAGATGGAAGGAAGACAAAGAAGGAACATGCAGAAGCCAGAAAAGGACCTTCAAGTGAGAGAGGTGGTCAGCAGTATAAAGGTCTAATAAGTAAAAGGTTAAAAGGGACATCTGGGAGACCTGCTAAAGTTGGGTGACAGTGGTGGAAGTCAGTGAAGTGAAAGAGATATGAGGGAGGGAGACAGGCAGGGCACAGACCGGCTACACAGAACACACCCGAGATAACGGAGGAGGGAAAATGGGCAGAGCTTGATGCATAATTGGGGTGGAAACAGTTTGGGGATGAGAATGGAGAACTGAACACAGGTATAGATTACGAGGAATCTGGTTATTAGGGGGAAGTTAAAGACTAAGCAATGGAATTGTAAAGATAGAAGGGCTACACAAGCTGGCGTGGGAAGGGATGGAATGTGCCCCCAAACAAAGGCAAGAGTGATTCTGGGAGAGGAGTGGCCCCTTTTCCTTTGAGGATATAACAGGCTTAGAGAGCTGGGGGATTTTACACACAAATCTTCTCTGGGGAATACAACACTGAATGACCTGTGGATTATCCTCAGTTATAGGATCTGTTCGTAGAGATATTTGTGGAGCACGACATAGAACTGCAGGCTGTCTATTCCTCCAGATAATTTAGGATTTCTTTTCAAACACCAAGACATATCACCAGAGAACCATGGCTTTGGAATACACAGTATTGTCTGTTTTCTCAGAGTCTTTCTTTAGCATTAAAAACTAAGCAAAGAAATAGAAGATGTACAAATAAACAATTGATAAATATAAACACCAGCTGGGTGTGATGGCTCGCACCTGTAATGTTAACACTTTGGAAGGCCGAGGCAAAAGGACCACTTGAGATCAGTTCAAGACCAGCCCTGAGCAACATATCAAGACCTGATCTCTACAAAAAACAGAAAAATCAGCCAGGAACAACGTGGGCCACACCTGTAGTCCCAGCTACTTAGGAGGCTGAGGCAGGAAGATTACTTTGAGTCTAGGAGTTTGAGGCTGCAGCAAGCTATGACAATGTCACTGCACTCCAGCCCATACAGAAGAGCAAGACCCTGTCTCAAAAAAAAAAAAAAAAAAAACAGTAAAAAGAATAGTACAAAAACCAAAATGAAAAATCATCACTGGACAAGCTCTAAGCATGATAGAGCAAAGAATCAGTGAGGTCAAACAGAAACCAATAGAAATTAGTCAACATGAATAACAGAGAAAATAGACTACAGGAAAAAAATTAAGGGCCTGAGGGACCTGTAGAACCATAACACAAGATCTACCATTCATGCCAGTAGAGTCTCAAGACAGATAAGAAACAGGGGGGATGAAAAAATATTTGCAGAAACAATAATTGAAAATTCCCCAAATGTGGCAAATGGCATAAACCTACAGAGATCAAAATGCTGAGCAAACACAAAACAGGATAAACTAAAAAAATTCCATGCCTTACCCAACAGGATCAAACTTCTGACCCCTATATATAGACAACGAAAAACACTCTGCATGCAGCTTGATAGAAATGATGCATTATGGCTGGAGAACAAACGGCTCCAATGGTAGCAGATTTCTCACCTGAAATAATGGCAGACAGAAGAAACAGACGTATTTCTCAAGTACTAAAAGAAAAAAAAAATTGTCAACTTCAAATCTCATATCCCACAATAATATCTTTCAGGAATAAGGGGACATAAAAACATTTTTAAAGGAAGGCTGGGCGCGGTGGCTCACGCCTATAATCTAGCACTCTGGGAGGCCGAGGTGGGCGGATTGTTTAAGGTCTGGAGTTCTAAATCAACCCAAGCAAGACCAAGACCCCGTCTCTACTATAAATAGAAAGAAATTAATTGGCCAACTAATATATATAGGAAAAAAATTAGCCTGGCATGGTGGTACATGTCTGTAGTCCCAGCTACTCGGGAGACAGAGGCAGCAGGATTGCTTGAGCCCAAGAGTTGGAGGTTGCTGTGAGCTAGGCTGGCCATAGCACTCACTCTAGCCTGGGCAACAAAGTGAGACTCTGTCTCAAAAAAAAAAAAAAAAAGAAACAGTTTTAAAGGAAGAAAAACAAAAAAAATCTGTCGTCAGCAGACCTAATCTAGAAGAAAGACTACAGGAAGTTCACCAAACAGAAGGAAATGTTAACAGAAGGCAGCCTGGGATTTCAAGGAGAGAAAACAAACAAACAATGGAATGGGTAAAGTAACATGCTTCTAATGACTTGTAAAATGTTTGACAGTTGAAGCAAAAATCACATCTTCCAACATGGTACTCATTGTTTGAATAGAAAATACTTAAGACAATTATATATATATATATTTTTTTTTGAGACAGAGTCTCGCTTTGTTGTCCAGGCTAGAGTGAGTGCCGTGGCGTCAGCCTAGCTCACAGCAACCTCAAACTCCTGGGCTAGAGTGATCCTTCTGCCTCAGCCTCCCGAGTAGCTGGGACTACAGGCATGCGCCACTATGCCCGGCTAATTTTATATATATATATCAGTTGGCCAATTAATTTCTTTCTATTTATAGTAGAGACGGGGTCTCGCTCTTGCTCAGGCTGGTTTTGAACTCCTGACCTTGAGCAATCCGCCCGCCTCGGCCTCCCAAGAGCTAGGATTACAGGCGTGAGCCACAGCGCCCGGCCAAGACAATTATATTAATAGGTAAGGTAAAGAGACCTAATGGAAGTTTTTATACATTTAAGTGCTAAATTGTTGATAACATTAAACTATAATAAATTATATATGCACATTGTAATACTCAGAGCAACAATTAAAAAATAATGTAAAGATATATACAGATGGTTCCTGACTTATGATGTCTGACCTACTAGTATTTGACTTTGCAACGGTGCAAAAGCTATGTGCATTCAGTAGAAACCACACTTTAAAATTTTTTGACCCGAAACTCTTTTCTCAGCACATTTAAGGTAGAGTTGGCTAAGCTATGATGTTCAATAGGTTAGGCATATTAAATGCATTTTCAACTTAAGAAATTTCCAACTTACATTGGGTTTACTGGGATATAACCCCATCATAAGTCAAGGAACATCTATACTAAAAATCACTGCAACAGATATATTAAGTGAAATTCTAAAAAAACTGGAAGTAACCTACAGGAAGACAAGTAAAAGCACCAAATAACAACGAAGACAGGAGAGGAACAATGAAAAGGGAACACAAACAAAAATCAAATCATAAAATGGCAGACATAAGCCCTAACATATCAATAATTATTTTAAATTTAAATAGTCTAAATATGCCAACTAAAAGATAGAAATATGCAAAATGGATTAAAAAAAAAAGCATGGCCTGAGTATATACCGCTCACAAGAAACTTACTTCAAATGTAATGATACTGAAAAAGCTTAAAATTAATACAAAATATAAACAATGCAATAGTGACTATATCAATATCAGATACAGCATTGACAGGAGTATTAATGAGCAAAAAAGGACATTACAAAATGATAAAAGGGTCAATACATTAGGACCTAACAAACTTACATGTGTATGTACCCAACAATAGAGCTTTCAATTATGTGAAAAAAGTGATAGAACTTAAAGGAAGAACAGATAATTCCACAATTATAATTCAAAACTTCAACAGCCTTCTCTAAGCAATTGACAGAAATACTAGACAGAAAATCAGCAAGGATATAGCAACCTGAATGATAACAATACACAGACATTTACAGAAACTCCATGTTTCTATAAATGTGGACAGCAAAACACACATTCTTTTCAAGTAGCCATATAGAACAAGATAGACCATATCCTGGGCTATAAGAAAATGTCAACACATTTAAACAGATCACAGATCAAATGTGAAACACATTAGAAATCAATAACAAATTGCATGAAATACTCCAAACACTAGAAAATTAAACAATATACTTCTAAATAATTCATGGGTTAGAGAAGATATCTCCAAAAAAATCAACACTAAAACTGAATAAAATGTAGTAAAATCATATTAAAACTTGTGGGATGAAGCTAACAGTGCCATGAAGTAAATTTATAGAACTTAATGCTTACATTAAAAAAGCAAAAAGCCTCAAATCAATAACCAAAATGCCCACCTTAAGAAATTACTAAGAAACAAATATGACGAAAGCAAGAATAATATAATACAGATCAGAGTAGAAATCAGTAAAATTAAGAACAGAAACATAAAGAAAAATAATGACATAAAGTGCTGATTCATTGAAGTAATTAATAAAATGATAAATGTCCAAGAACAAAGAGAAAAGGAAAATAAAGAGAGCAGACAGATTTCCAATGTCAGTCATAAAATGGATATAAGTACAGATCCTGCTGATATCAAAATAAGGGAATGCTATAAAATAGAAAATTTAGATGAAATGGAATTTCTTTCAAAGGGATAAAATATCAAATTTATTATATAAGAAATAGGTACTCTAAATAGTTCTGTATCTACCCAGTAAAATAAACAGGTAATTAAAAAGCCTCCAAAAGGAAAATCTCCAGGACCAATGGTTTAGTAGAGACTGTTATCGAACTTATTAAATGAACAAATAAATATTAATTCTACAGTCTTTCAAAAAACAAAAGAGAACTCATTCCAATTCATGTTAGAAGGCCAGAATCACCTAGACATCAAAACCAGACATGAGACCTTTAAAAAGCAAAGAAACAAACAAGAAAGCAAAACAAAACAAAGAGACATAAAGAGCTACACATCATTAGCCAAAAACTTAGAGAGAAACTTTCTTATAAAATACAAGCAAACAAAAATAGAAAAATTAGCTGGGTGTGGTGGCACGCTGAGGCAGGCGGATCACTTTGAGCCCAGGAGTCTGAGGTTGTGGTGAGCTATGAGGAGGCCAAAGCACTCTAGACTAGGTGACAGAGACCCTGTATTCAAAACCAAAAGCAAAACCAACAAAAAAACAAGGAAATGGAATTATGTCAAATGACATATAAGATCAATTATACTCGCTTGGCACAGTGGCTCATGCCTGTAATTCTAGCACTCTGGGAGTTGAGGTGGGCGGATTGCTCAAGGTCAGAAGATCGAAACCAGCCTGAGCAAGAGCAAGATCCCGTCTCTACTATAAATAGAGAGAAATTAATTGGCCAACTAATTATATAGAAAAAATCAGCCGGGCATGGTGGCGCATGCCTGTAGTCCCAGCTACTTGGGAGGCTAAGGCAGCAAGATTGCTTGAGCCCAGGAGTTTGAGGTTGCTGTGAGCTAGGCTGATGCCGTGGCACTCACTCTAGCCTGGGCAACAGAGTGAAACTCTGTCTCAAAAAAAAAAAAAAAAAAAAAAAGATCAATTATACTCCACAAACAAGGATGCCAGGCTGGCTCAATATTCAAAACCCTATATCAATTAAATCAATAGGCTGTACAGGGAAAATCACGAGACTGTATCAATTGATGGAGAAGCAGCATCTGACAAATCCAACACTCATTCATAACAACTCAGAAACTCAGCAAACTAGGAACAAAGGGGAATCTTCTATATTTGATAAAGAAATCTATTAATAAAACATACAATATTATCCTATTCAACATTATAATGGAAGCCCTAGCTTGTGCAGTAACACAAAAAAGGTAATAAAAGGTATACAGATAGGATGAAAGAAAGAAAATTGTATTTGCAGATGACATTTCTACATAGAAAATTGCAAGGATTCTATTTTAAAAAATGGCAAAAAATAGTGTGTTCAACAAGGTTGCAGGACAGCAAGACGTCCAAAAGTAATTATATTTTTGTATACTGCCAAACATCATGACAGTGAAAGTTTAAATACCAATGCCATTTACAATCACTCAAAAAGAAAAACCCACAAAAAACAAAACAAAAAACACCTTAGATGCAAATTTTAACAAAATTTATAGGTTGTATATGCTGAAAATCATAACACTAATGAAGGAAATTGAGAAATGCTTAAGTACATGAAGAGACATACTGTATTTGTGAACTGTAAGACTCAACATGGTAAAGATATCAATTCTCAACAAATTAATCTACAAATTTAACTCAATTTCTGTGAAAATCTGAGCAAGATATCTTAATAAATTATACATTTATAAAATGTATTATAGACAAACTAATCCTAAATTTATATGCAAAGTAAAAGGAACCAGATATGCCAAATCAACTTTAAATAACAAAAAAGAATCACTTTACCCAATTTAAAAATTTACCATATAACTATAGCAATCAAGTAAACCAACAGATTGGGATCACAAAGTTTGAGTGTTATATTTTTAAACTCACTTGAAAAAATGTTTGTTTTTTTTTTTTTAATATCAAGCCTTTAAATAGTCTTAACTGGTGCAATAAAATGTAACCATTCATATATATATATATCCTTAGTGCCTTAAACATAAGTATTTCATGGCTCAAGATCCCTATTTTCTCATAAAAGTTATGTTTCTCAAGAGTAAAGGCTATTGTGGAACACAGATGTACCATAAAAGTTTGAAGACTTGCCCTCAATTAATTCTCCTAATAATGGACAGCAATGAATGCATATGCAAGAAACAAAAAGTGTCAAGGACTTTTACTTCTGAAACACTCCCCTTGCCTTAAATAAACTAAAGAATCAATAACAAACTGCCACAGGCTTGGCAGAGCAGTCTGAAAAGATCTGTGCTTGCATTTTGTCTTCCATGTCTCCTCCTTTTTAAAATAATTCCTGAGATAACACTGCACTGTAAACTAAGGAGAAAGAAGTAGCTGAAGTTTTTCCTATTTGTACAATAACCAACCAAGTCTCTCTCCAGGATGAATTCTCAGATGGAGAATAAGGCTGTAGGTTGAGTCAATTTCTACTATGACTATTATTATTTTTTTTGAAACAGAGTCTCACTCTGTTGCCCATGCTAGAGTGCCATGTCACCAGCCTAGCTCACAGTAACCTCAAACTCCTTGGCTCCAGCGATCCTCCTCCTCAGTCTCCCAAGTAGCTGGGACTATAGGTGTGCGCCACCATGCCCAGCTAATTTTTTTTTCTATTTTTGGTAGAGACAGGGTCTCCCTCTTGCTCGGGCTGGTCTTGAACTCCTGAGCTCAAATGATCCACCCACCTCGGCCTCCCAGAGTGGTAGGATTATAGGTGTGAGCCACTGCGCCTGGCCTCTACCATGACTCTTTAGATGACAAGTAATATTTTGTAACAGAAGGATTTCTCATGGTGAAGACACTTGTGGGGTTTCTCTTTGGTATGCATGATCAGATGCGGTTGTTTCCTCTGACAAAAGATTTGCCTCAGTGGTTACATTCATAAAGTCTTTCCCCAAAAGGAGTTCGCGAAGGGTAACTGAGGTTTGCACACTTGTAAAAGGTCTTGTCACATGTGTTACACTGATAGGGTTTCTGCCAGTATGCATCCTTTGATGCTGAGTGAGGGATGAGCTGCGACTGAAGGCCTTTCCACATTCACTACACTTATACGGCTTCTCTCCAGTGTGGATGATGGAGTGTCGAATGAGGTTTGTGCTCCAGCAAAAGGATTTCCCACACTCAACACATTCATAGGGCTTCTCTCCGCTATGAATCCGCTTGTGTCTTGTGAGGCCTGACATGCGGGTGAAGGCTTTTCCACACTCTACGCACTCATAGGGCTTCTCTCCAGTGTGGATGCTAAAGTGGCGAATGAGATCTTTCCGATTACTAAAGGCTTTTCCACATTCTTTACACTCAAAAGGTTTTTCTCCAGTGTGGGCCCTTTTATGTAGGATAAAAGTAGAACAGTGGGTGAAGGCCTTTCCACATTCACTGCACACAAAAGGCTTCTCCCCAGTGTGAATCCGCTGGTGCCTCTTGAGGTATGACCTGTGGTTGAAGGCCTTCCCACACTCGAGGCACTCAAAGGGCTTCTCCCCAGTGTGGATGACATAGTGGTGAACAAGGGCTGCGCTCTCCAGGAAGACCTTCCCACATTCACTGCACTCATAGGGCTTCTCTCCAGTGTGAGTCTGCTGGTGCCACATGAGGTATGACCTATGTTTGAAGACCTTGCCACACTCCAAACACTCATACGGATTCTCACCACTGTGGACAACATAGTGTCGAAGAAAACCTGGCCTATGTCGAAAGACTTGCCCACATTCTGTGCACACAAAGGATTTTTCTCCAGTGTGTCTCCTTTTATGCAAGACAAAATTGGATCTGTGAGTGAAGGCCTTTCCACACTCATTGCACTTATAAGGCTTCTCTCCACTGTGAATCCTCTGGTGCTGAGTAAGGTATGATTTGCGGTTGAAAGCCTTTCCACACTCCATGCACTCATAGGGCCGCTCGCCAGTGTGGATCATGTGGTGCTGAAGGAGATGTGTGCTCTTAATAAAGGTTTTCCCACATTCTGTACATTCATAGGGCTTCACTCCAGAATGAATTTTCTCATGTCCAGCAAGGAGGTGTTTCTTGTTAAAGACTTTTCCACATTCATTGCATTTAAAGATATTTTCCTCTTCCTGAAGCATGGGCTCTTTACCTGATCCACTTGAGTTAAGGCTATGGACTGTATCTCTTGGACAGACTTGCTCTTGTATCATCCCGGAGCATGCACCACCCGCTGTCCCTAACTCATCACATTCAGGGTTCCTTTTCCCAGAAACCTTCTCCTTCTCAGGATCTATCCCTGGTCTCAAGTGTCCTTCCTGCATTTCACATGGCCCATTCTGATCCTTGGCTTGCCTCAGCTGGGAGTCCCCTGAGGCTCCCTGTGTTAGGTTTCCTTGGAGTGAGACTCCCCCAGGCAAGGCTGGCTCACAAGTGGTAGGTTCTGGGGTCTTAGGTTTTTCTTTGTCCCCTAAAAGAAATCCAAGACATAAAATGGCCTGTTAGTAATGAAAGAAAGAAAAAACAAAATTACCTTTTCTGTAAAAAACTGAAGATGAAAATATGACTTCTGTGTCTGTTATGTGCTGTATCTCTGAAACTTGAAAGTTGGGTTTACAAATTCTTTCTTTCTTGGTCCTGGGACTCCAGGTATCTTAAAAAGGAGACCCAAGGGATAGGATGGGTCAAGGGACAATGAGTCTGTAGTGGAGTCACCTTTACAATTCCAGACTGGAAATGGGCAGAATAACAATGACATTGCATGGTCAGTTTCCTCTAGGACAGGACATTCCATATTGGTACAAGAATACTAGGAAAAGGCACCTAATGCAGCTCACATAGAAGATACAAGTATGCAATATAAAATAAATTCCCCAAGGAAATGTTTGGGTCTTTTCTGAAGTCATGGGAAGTAACCTCTAAATATTTCCAGAATGTCTTTTAAATTGATGGTCAGCCCCCAGGGCCATATTTGATAGTTTATGCAAACAGGTATAACTCATTATAGACCCCTAAACAGTTTATCCTGAAGAGATGACTTAGGCCATGGTCTGGACAAAGTCAAAATATAACAGCTTAATATGAAGAAAGTGAAGGAGAGCTGAAGATGGAGCCACAAAGATAATGATTCAACCAAATGTGCTCACATAATGAAGCTTCAGTAAAATTCTGGACACTGAATCTCTGGTAAGTTTCCTGGGCTGGTAATACTCCAAACCTGTACTACCATATACCAAAGCTGGGACTCAGTGAGTCTCTGGGAGCCTGAGGCCTCGTGTTGGGAACCTTTCCAGCCATATATTCTGTATCTCTTCTAATTTGTACCTGTTGTCTGTAATAAATGTGATTGTGAGTAAAATAGGTTTTAGGGAGTTTGGGGAGTCTTTTTATCAAATTTGTGAACCTGAGGATGGTTTTGGGAAATCCAGAACTTACAGTTCATGTCAGAAGAGTTAGACAGACCTGGCAGTCTTAGAGGACTATGTCTATAACATTGGGTTAGGCTAATCTTAGGTAGGAAAAGAGGGGAAGTTTCCCAATAAGGGTTGCCCAATGAAGTGAGTCTTACTGGCCATAAAGACAAAGCAGGAAGGACACAAAGCCCTGGAAGACAGAATATACAAAGAAACTGCAGTATGGTGTTGACAATCCAGGGACAGGTGGGGATAGAGGGAAAGCTGAGCTGAGTGAAAGTGAAGGTCATATGACCACTGCCAATCAGGACAGGGCTCATAAGGCAGGAGGTAAGCAAGCCCTAGTGGGACATACTGAGTCTGGTATGCCTGAAAACAAGCTTGGTGAAAATATCAGCAAAATGCACACGACTGAGAGAGAGAAAACTGTAACACACTAATTAAAGATAATAAAGATCTATGTCAACACAGAATTTAATAATATGAACCTGTAACCAGAGGGAATGGCCTGGAAAAAGGTAAAATATTTTAAAAGTTGTCTCTTTAAAACCTCCCCCACTCTTCTAGAGAATTAAAACCTGCATTCTTGCCAAAGGCCAGTGGTTGGGAGGGGCAGGGGAGTATCTTTTGTTCTTTGTACCACAGGAGATGGCTCTAACAGAACTATGCAGGCAGAAGTCACAAGACTATTTTCACTGGAGATGGGATAGATTAGAATCATCAACTATAGTTAAACAATAACTTGATGCTGAAAACCCTCCCTATAAAAGCTCTGTATTTCTGCTAATAGACAGGACAATGGTACTTTATGATGGGAGTCTCCCATTCTCCTCATTTGCCAGCAAATTAATAACCCTCCCTTAATCCTTCTCCTCAAAACACTTGTCTTCATTCTTCCGAAGCAGCCTTGGGTAAAAGTGCCAAAGTTTTGGTAACAACCTGACAATTCTTGCCAAATCCATATTATAAATTCAATATAATCCCCTGTAAAATAGAAAACTATATTTTATCATGGAACTAACAGTTTGTTGAATTAAGCAAATGAAGCTGGAAAAACTAGCTACTCCCATGGGTAATAAAAACAATTGCATTACTATTTCACTATATACTCTAAGTCAGGGGTCCTCAAACTTTTTAAACACAAGGCCAGTTCACTGTCCCTCAGACTGTCGGAGGGCCGTCGGAGAGTGCAGCATACATTCTTACACATGCACACTGTGGGCCCAGGATGAGTTGGCTGCTAAGCAGGAAAGGCAGCAGTGGCAAAAACACCCGGCGAGCCAGATAAATGTCCTAGGTGGGCCACATGTGGCCCGTGGGCCATAGTTTGAGGACCCCTGCTCTAAATCAACCTCACTGATAAAAACTCAAATGCTAAATGACAAGTTTTAAAACTTTTAGAATAAGAGAAATAAGAGTATCTTTACAGCCATGTGTGGTGTTCACAGCTGTAATCTTAGCACTGTACAAGGATCGCTTGAGACCAGCCTTAGCAACATAGCAAGCCCCCATCTCTACAAAATCTAAAAAAATCAGCCAGGCTTGGGCTGAGCCAGAAGGATTACTTGAACACAGGCATTTGAGATTGCAGTGAGTTATAATGATGGCACTGCACCCTAACCCAGGCAATATGTCTCAAAAAACCAAAAAAATTAATAAGCAAGAAATATCTTTTCAATATTCGGGTAAAGCAACATTTTTTTATGTAAGACAAAAAAATCATTAACTGTCTAAGAAAAGTCATGAATTAGGCTCTTTCCTTTCCTGTAATAAAAAAAGAGAAAAACCCAGAAAAGTAATAAATTAGACCACACTAAAATAACCTTTATCAAACAAAAGATACCTTAAAGAATAAAGGACAAAATTAAAAACTAGAATATATCTGAAGCATACATAACTGACAAAAATCTCAGGCACGTACACAGAATCCCTACCAAGGAAAAAGAGAAAGGCAAACAAGTTAATAGAAAAATAGGCATTTATCATGAAACAAGAAATACAAGAAAAAAATAAGAAAACACAAATTGGCATAAAATCATAAGTTGCTAAAATATTTTAGCAACAATAGAAATGCAAATCAAGAGAACATGAGAGAAAAATAGGAACCAAGGCAAGGTGGCAGACTAGAAACAACCTGCACATACTGCTCTCACAGGATCTAAATTGGAGAGCACATAGTCACCTTCTGATCAAATGTCTAAGAGAGAACACTGGGAATTAACAGTTAGCAACAGGACACTCCCAAAATTAAGGAGAGGAAAAGTGAGGTGACCTGCTTGGCAGGATCAGAGGCATGCAGGGAAGGTGCCTACATGTGGAGAAAGAAGAGAGAACCCTGGGGGTTCCACACTCCCCCCCATGGACACTGCAATCGGAGCTGCAGGAGGGCCCCTGCATAGCAGAAGGCTGGTGGGCTGCAATGGAAGGCTGAATGAGACCGTGCACAGCAGCACTGCTCTAGAGAAAAGGCACAGCAGGTTCCTGCTGGCTTACAAACCCTGGGCACTACAGCTGGTGCCATTTTGAGGTCCCGGTCACAGAGTGCTGTGTCTATCTGAGGGGTTATATCCATTGATGCTGACTCCCCATCATCCCTACTGGACTCGGGAGAGAACAGGGAAACTGGGAGCTCTTGTGCATCCCCACTGCCACTGGAGGAACTGGGAAAAGTGGGTGCCCACAGACCTGGCATCTGCTGCTGCCATGGGGACAGCCACACCCAGCCACAGCTGCCATAGGACATGGACAGAGAGAGCGCCCATGACCCCAGACACCCCCCTGCTGCTTCTTGGGTGTGTACCACCACTGCTAGACACGGGTGGGATGAATGCCACAATGTGTGTGCCAATCACCCATGACAACCACAGAGCAATGGGGAGATGCAGGAGAGCAGCAGTGCTAAAGGCTCATAGTGCATCTGCACCTCTCTGGCCTGATCAATCTTCTGGAGTAGGACTCAAGCACATCATCCAGGGATCTCTCACTGTCTTCACTAAGCAACAGAATTCCCAGCAGAGAACAAGTGTACTATAAAGCTACCTGTGTTTCTGTGTTGAGCTTACAGAAGAGGTTTCAGGTGAGAAGATAGCACCAGAACTCTAGCAACACGGAAAGGAAAAACATAAAACAGGCTGTTTTGACACCCCCAAAAGATTACAATAGTTGCCAGCAATGAATTCCAACAAAAGGAAATTGTGGAAATATCAAATATGGAATTGAGAATATGCATGGCAAGTATGATGAATGGGAATGATGAGAAAGTTGAAAACCCATGCAAATGAACCAAAAATAAAATTCAGGACATGAATAAAAAATTCACTAAAGAGACACATAATGTAAGAAAAAACATAACAAATTTCAGAATGAAAGAGTCATTTAGGGAATCTCAAATACAGTAGAAACTTAACAGACCAGACCAAACAGAAGAAAGAATTTCAGAGCTTGAAGACAAGGCTTTGGTATTAACCCTGTTTAGTCAAAAATATAGGAGAAAGAATAAAGAATAATGAACAATCTGAGAAATATGGGACTATGTAAAGTGAATGAACATAAGAATTACAGGTATCCGCAAGTGAGAAGAAGAAAACCTGAAAAGCATGGAAATCCTATTTGGGGAAATAATTCAGGAAAATGTCCCTGTTAACACTAGAGATTTAGATATCCAGATACAAGGTCATCCAATACTTGCAAGAGTCATGGAAAATAAGACATTATTACCAGGGTACACAGTCATCAGCCCAACAAAAGTCAAAGTGGAGAATACCCTACAAGCTGTGAGAGAAAGGAATGAGACATACAAAGGAAAATGAAAGTAACTTAGGCTGGGCGCAATGGCTCACGCCTGTAATCCTAGCACTCTGGGAGGCTGAGGCAGGCGGATTGCTCAGGGTCAGGAGTTCCAGAACAGCCTGAAAAGAGACCCCACCTCTACTAAAAATAGAAACAAATTAATCAGCCAACTAAAATATACAGAAAAAATTAGCCGGGCATGGTGGTGCATGGCTGTAGTCCCAGCTACTCAGGAGGCTGAAGCAGGTTTGCTTGAGCCCAGGAGTTG